AAAGCTAAGACCCCTTTCATTTATCTGCAATAAGAGTTAAACCCCCAAAGCTAAGACCCCTTTCTGCAATTAAACCCCCCCCTGCAATAAGAGCTAAACCCCAAAGTTAAGACCCCTTTCATTTATCTGCAATAAGAGCTAAACCCCCACTCCCCTGTTTATTTATCTGCACCAAGACCGAAAACAAAATGCTATGGCCTCTTACGCACTCAGACCTCCCTGATGGCGAACACACACTCTCCCTGATTCTCTGAAGTTCCTGAGGATTATGAGACCACACAAAAAAGTCCAATTTTTAAGATATTGTACGATAAATATCAATATTACTGTGTGTGTGTGTGTGTGTGTGTGTGTGTGTGTGTGTGTGTGTGTGTGTGTGTGTGTGTGTGTGTGTGTGTGTGTGTGTGTGCGTGCGCGTGCGAGCGCGCGCGTGTGTGTGTGAGCGTGTACGTGTAACTATCACCACAAGCGAACGAAAAAAAAAATACAACGAACTGCCGCAGTTCTCCCCTAACCCTGAACCCTGCCCTCTGAACTTGACCGAGACTCCCACCGCCGCCAATTTCTCCTAAATTGTCGCCGCCCATAGTCCTCGGCGTCCCCTTCCCTCCTCTGCTACAGACAGCCACCACCGCCAAGTCTTTCCCAAGGACATTTTCCTTTGGTATATGTTTACGGCCTATTTTTTTAAACTGAATTTTGTTTAGGATCCAGTTGCCACTTTTCTTCTGTCAAACTGATATCTTAATAACTCGGTCATTTTTGTATAATATCGTTTTCCTTTTTTTGTTGTTGTTACTAATTTGGTTCTCTCGTTCACATACACTGGCGAAAGAAACCATGGGGTATTGTGAAAATCTTTTATTCTCTTTCGTATCCTTTATTACTGTTTCTCTCTCTCTCTCTTGTGTCATCATACTTAAATGTATTTGACGTCCTTTATCACTGTTTCCTTCTTTCTCTTCTACATCATCATAATCTATTAATCTCTTTCGTCTTGTTATTACTCTTTGTTTCTCGTGTGTGTCCTCTTTTTTCATTCTTTTTATTCTTTTTTGTGCTTTCATATCCATTATGTCAGTATTTCGGACAATGTTCCTTACCTTTGCCAAACTAGCATTCAAACACGAACCAGCTCGGATACTGACTTTTTTTCCTCAATAAACCAATCTTTATAATCCGTTCTTATCGTTATTCGGACCCCAACGTCTGCATAGCCCATGTTTGTGAAGATATCACCCTCAACAGTGACACAGCCCACATACACTTCGATTCCATTTCTCAAAACTCGTTCTGATCAAATGCCAAAGAGGAGAGGTCACAGTATGCCCCCTTGTCTGACTCCCATGCTCTTCTTCACACGGATCAGTTAGACTACGAGTTGGTCTAACTACAACCTCATACGTGTTTCTGACAAATTCGACATTACACGCTGAATATACAATCTCATAGTCTCCCAGAGAACCTCGCGCGATACCAAAAGCTTTCTCGTGATCAATACAAAACACAAATAAACATTTTGTCAATATTTTTTTTCTACAATCATTGTCGGATTTAGCATTTGATTGCTCGTTCTTCTTCCAGTCCTGAACCCTCGCTAAATTTTCACTCAGACAACAATCATTTTCAGCAATTTTCTCTACCATAGTGGCTGATAACCAAGACTCTGATAAGCACCGTAGTTCTATTGCTGTATATCACCAATCTAGAGAAAGTAACGAACACTGATTTGACCCAACTTCGAGGCCATTCTTTCTTCGTCCAAATTCCAGTAAAAAAAAAAAGTGGTTTTTGAAATGAAGTAGTAAAAAAAAAAGTTTTTCAAGTGTAGTAAAAAAAAAAAGGGTTTTGACATGTAGTAAAAAATGAAATAAACTAGTAACAAAAATTGAAGCGAAGTAGTAAAAAAGAAGTTTTTGAAATGAATTAGCGAGTTTTACCTCACCAAAACGGAATGAATACAGCGGCCACTTCGTCATAACCAAGATTTTCGTCGTTCTCGAGCTCCAAAATGATTCAAAGTCCATAAATTGGTGGTGGCTCTTCAGTCGCCAGTTTGTCTATATCCGTAGGTACTATTCTTGTTAGTGGTGTAGCCAAACTGCTTCCAATTTTCTTTGGCTTCCTCCCTTTCAGATGGAACGTTACAATTGTCATTTTCTATTGTTTAAGTTGTTCGTCTGCACGCACGCATTCTCGCGAGCACACACACGTACGCGCACACAATGACACACACCTACACAAACCTACAGCCCCCCCCCACACACACATACATTCACGCCCCCCACCCCCTCTCACACACACACACACACACACGCACACACCTACACCACACACACCTACACAAACCTACAGCCCCCACCCCCCTCTCTAACACACCACCTACACACACCACACACAACACACACACCACACACACACACACACACACACACACACACACACACACACACACACACACACACACACTACCCCCCCCCCACACACATACATTCACCCCACACACAGACACACACACACACCTAACGTCTATATCCCCTCCCCCCGCCCATTCCCTTTCCCTCATTACCCCATTATTCGTCGGCCACAAAGTCGGGAAGAGCGAATCCCCCGCGAGGGTTCCCGGCGCCGCGGGGGCTCGCCAATTGGACGGACAGGTATTCCGTCGTGTATAAGGGGAGAGGCTGTAAGGGGATGGGGGGGGGGTACGAGTCCTTCGGGGAGAGGGGGGATACTCTTGGGGGTGGGGGGTCCTTCGCTCTTTCTTCTGGCGTTTCATTCAATTCTCTGTTGGTTCTTTTCTGTTTTTTTTTCTCTCTTTCTCTTTAGATGTTCATCTTTCTCTTTGTTCATTTTTTTATGCATCTCGTCTTTTCTCTTCTCTTCTCTCTTTTTTAATTGTTTTTTCTCGCCTTTTATTTTATTCTAAATATACATACATTTCTTTCTGTTGTTTTCTTTTCTTTTCTATTTTTCTTTAACCTTCTCCTCCTCTCATATCATTTCTTCTCTTCACTTGATCTCACTTCACTTCACTTCACGTCACATCAAATCACTTCACACTTTCCCTTCTCTCCTCTCCTCTTCTTTTTCTTTTCTTCTCTTCACATCACTTCACATCACTTTCCATTTCTCTCCTTCTCCTCTCCTTCCCTCTCCCTCCCTCCTCTCCTCTCCTTCCCTCTTCCCCTCTCCTCCTCCTTCTCCTTCCTCTTCCCTCTCCTCTCCTTCCCTCTCCCCTCTCTTCCTTCCCTCTTCCCCTCTCTTCCTCCTCTCCACCCCTCCTCTCCTTCCCTCTTCCCCTCTCCTCCTCTCCTTCCCTCTTTCCCTCCCCTCCCTCCCCTCCCCTCCCCTCCCCTCCCCTCCCTCTCCCCTCCCCTCCCCTCCCCTCCCTCTCCTCCCCTCCCCTCCTCTCCTTTTCCCTCCCCCTCCCTCCCTCTCTCAATCCACTTTATCCATCCTCCTACGAAACTTAATACCCTAAAAATCCCCCGCCGACATAACAGCCTTAGAAAATATCCACGTTATCGAAATATCTTAAAAAAAAAAAAAAAAAAAAAAAAAAAAAAAAAAAAAATTAACGCGATCTGCTTCCAATATTTTCCACCAATGGAAATTCGATACACCCGCCTTGGCCCTGCCTCTTGCGGGTAGATCCCCTAAGAGAATATAAGATAGGATAGGACGTGTGAGATAAGATAAGAAAGATGAGTAAGTTGAGGAGAGTGATGGTCAGGATGAACTGTTCGAGTAAAATATGACGAAAAAATAATAAGCACAGACAACCTTGGACAAAATAAGCAAGGTAGGATATACAAGATAAGGCAAATTAAGGATTATAAGACAACATATCTAAGATAAGACATAGTAAGATCGTAGAAAAAAAAATATAAAAGATGGGATAAACAAGATAAGTCAGGAAGAAAAAAGAGAAAAGTATCACCAGCATATGCCAACATAACTTATAAAATGTTGGTACTTATCTCTATGCTGACATTCCTTCTCCGACAACCACGCAGCAAATAGTAGCTGACACTCTTACAATAGCCCTGGTGCTCTCGGTGGGGCTAAGTCCAAGGAAATGATAGTGAGTCGGTCTCGAACGCAGTTGCCTCAGCATCCAAGTCGGCGGATTAATGGAGTCTTAATCACTTCAGTGGATATTCCGAAGCTCTTAGGTGAAACCCTTGATTCAAAGCTTACATCTGAATTGCAAATTAGGAACGTGGCCCGGGCAATTTCATCAAAGTTGGGCATTATTCGCAAGAGCAAGAAGGTTTACGAAGATGAAAACATTACTCGCAGCTGCTTCTTCTCTTTCATTCTGCCTCATTTTGAGTACTGTTCTCCTGTATGTTTATCTGCTCCAGAGTCACTTTTGACTGCTTGATCGTTCTTTTAATTCCATTAAATTTCTCCTGTCTGACTTTGATGTGGACACAGGGCATCGTAGAGATATTGGGGCTCTTTCAGTTTTATACGGGAATGTAACCGATAATTCACATCCCTCCATAAGTCTTGACCCGATTCTTATCAACCTGCAAGAGTTACCAGAAGTTCTATGACCCTCAATCCAATCACATTTGCTGCAAGTCGATCGTCTACAAATTAGTTTTCTAAATGCTTTTTTACCGCTATTTGTAGGCTTTGGAATAGATTGCTTTCAGAGATTGCAACTTTTCCGACTCTTGGTAAGCTTCAAAGATCAACTAATATGCTTTATTACATGAACAGCTGATGAATTTCTGTCTACTCTTTCTTTCTGACACTGACGCCTTTGGTGGTATAATTCTCGAATCTTCTCAGCGTGGCTCTTTCTATGGCTTATAATAATAATGACAACAATGAATAAGATAATGCAAGTTTCACTAAGATAAGACAATTAAAGTAAGTCAGACAAGACAAGATAAAGACAACACAAGTCAGATAATCCAGACAAGACATGCAAGACGTCAGATATGGGCAAGACATGACATAAAGTACAAGACATTCAATATTACCTTGGGAGATTCAGACTTCTTAAACACGACGCGTTCCCTCTGCACATTCTGCAAGTGAAAAGATCTCGTAAATAAAATAAATAGCAGTAACGAAGACAATCATAACAACAATTACAGCTATACTAACTATATGATTGAAACTATAAAGGCAACAATAATAATAATAATAATAATAATAATAATAATAATAATAATAATAATAATAACAATTATTATTACAACAATAATAATAACGATAACAATAATAATAATAATAATAATAATAAAATTTCACATTTAAATTAAAATGGGTTTCTCATGCGCTTCTAGATTTTCACGAGACCGTTGAGCGATGTTGCCAAGTCGCCAAAATGTTACGACTTCATTTTTATTATATTAAAATTTAGTGTTTAGTAGTAGATAGATTATCAGTTTTATGTTTTCTGCAATGACTCCTGGACTGAACGCCTTGTATAGAAAAGGAGATAATGTTCGAGAATGACATCTCCAACTCGGGAGCGTCGGTTCGCTTCAGAACAGGGTTGGCTTCCCCAGAGACAGGAAGGAGAGAGATCGAACAAGTTGGTGGTTGTATTTCTGTGGGCAAACGCAGTGATTGGGGGTGATTACAATACCTGGTTTAGTAAGGGGAAGCCCTAGAGATTGTAATGTGATTCTCAGAACGGCGTGGGCTTCCCCAGGGGCAGAGACAGGTTCTGAGCCAGAAAGAGCAGCAGACGTCAACCATCCCAGCCTACCATATTGTGGCATCCCCCAGGACTGAGAAGAGAGTGAGATTGGACTGAATGTTGCTAAGAGTTCGCCGTAGACTACAGTTGTCATGTCATTAAGAGGTGACAAATGAACGGTTGCCTTTCAGAGGCCTGTGTATTTATTTTTGTTTTATTTGATACATGTTAAATTGCAGTGTCCAACTATTTCCCCGAGTCCAGACAATCATTCAACGGTAGTCTCTTTTTAGTTTCCTTTATTCTTGGAGGGGTGTACCTTCCCGTGAAACATATTTTGTAAGAATTCAGTCATAGTGATCCTCTAGCAAAGACCAGTGGAGGTAAATCCTTTTCTTTTAAGTAAATCTTCGTTTCTTTGAAATTCATCATTTTTTGTGATATAATGGGCTATTTGTTAATAAATTTCATAGAATATTATTTTTTCCCCCCTGAGCCAAGCAAACTAGGTTATGGTCTACCATACTAACTTCACTGCCACGTCATTATCATGTTATTAATTGTTTGTGGGTTTTCGCCCTTAGAATTGAGACACAAGTGGTGGCAGCGATACCAAAGCTTTCTTGTCATTTTAAAAGAAATTAGTGTGTAAAAACGTCAGTACCAGATTTAAATATGATTGAAAATTTGAAAAGTTAATACATGTCTAAACTGAACCCATCATATAGTGTTAAGGGAAGGATCTGACATATGGTGACAACGGTCCGACAATAATAATAATAATATAATAATAATAATAACAATAATAATAAATAATAATACAATAATAATAATAATAATAATAATAACAATAATAATAATAATAATAATAATATAACAATAATAATAATAAACAATAATGAAATAATAACAATAATAAATAATGATAATATAATAATAATAATAATAAAATAATAATAATAATAGCAATATTATTAATAATAATAATAATGACGATGATGATGATAATAACAATAATAATAATAATAAGTAGCAGCCGCCGCAATAGCTACAACAGCAGCAATACTCCCCCTAAACTCGAGAACGAAAAAGTCACATTCCCACGACACTGAAGATTTTTCCCACAACTCAACTTTTTGCCCATTCATGTTCTGGAAAATGCCGAGTGCACTTCGTCAACCTCGAATGAAAGGAACATACTCATGACGATGTTATTACGATTGCAGCTGCGCAACATATGAGGCACTCGTTTCCCAGCACATTCACTGGCATATTTACACATTGTGATGGTTCCAACAGGTGCTGAATAAAATGCAGGCAGAGTTTCGACCGGCTTATTCTAGGCTAGCCAGACGCAGTGCTTCACCTGCGAAAAGCACCGCCGTAATAGCCCGCACGCGCCTCTCGCTGGAATAACACTTGAATAGTACCTGGTATAGCATTTCTCACCGCGCATAGTACCTGGTATAGCATTTCTCACCGCGCATAGTACGCATTTCTCACGCGCATAGTACCTGGTATAGCATTTCTCACCGCGCATAGTACCTGGTATAGCATTTCTCACCGCGCATAGTACCTGGTATAGCATTTCTCACCGCGCATAGTACCTGGTATAGCATTTCTCACCGCGCATAGTACCTGGTATAGCATTTCTCACCGCGCATAGTACCTGGTATAGCATTTCTCACCGCGCATAGTACCTGGTATAGCATTTCTCTTAGCATAGTATTTCTCGTCTGAGAAACACGGAGCACGAGGACTCATTCCCTGTTTCGCTAGAGTTTCGTGTTTCATGGCGTATATCTTTTGAAGAAAGAAGCGCGGAAACTGATTTACAAATTCAAAATTATTAAAATATAATACCTACTGATATGTCTTACCTATTAGATCTCTTAAAATCTCCTATTGAATTTATAAATGTCTATTAGCTATTGTTAAGAATACCGTTCCACACACCCGTCCGTGGTCGAAACGGAAGCTGCACCTTCCTGTCGCAGTCCTCCTGTGTTTACATCGCCAGAGGAAACGGCTGCATCGCACCTCCGACGCCTGAGCCTTGTTTGCCCAAGGAACTTCTCCCCCTCGAGCAAGTCCGGCGAACTCCCCCTTTGTCGCGGCCGGAAGAACTGACACCCCGGAATACAGAAGCAGGCACCCGCCCAGGGCAGGAGCCGCCGTAGAAGAAAAGGGCGTTCTCCATTTCTCGGGGAGGAACAGGAGAGCAGAAGGAGACACAGACAGACGACGGTCGCGCTCGTCACCGCTGCCCTTGGCACCCGGGGCACGGGTCTCTCGTGGGGTCACACATCTACCGCCCCCCCCCCCCCAATAAACACTTCAGCAAAGTCCCCTTTCATTCACCTGCTCCCCCCCCTCCCCCAACTTTATCACCAGTATGACAATGTTTGACCTATTATTAAAATCTATTACCCTATTATTTCAGGAAAGGTATGAAGTATCATTGAAATTAATCAGTACAATCTCTTCCCCTCTTGCCTATGGAAATGTATAACCTATTAATAATTCTACTACCTAAATCTATTACCATTAGAATATAGTGATAGGCGAGTTACCCATTAGTCTAAAACCTAGTATAGTATTTTAGATCTCCAGCCCCTACACACGACGCTCAAGGCCTTCCAAAATAAAGGCTCGCGGAGTGAGGCGTGGCACGGTGCCACTTGACGGCAGTTAGGTGCCAGAACATCAGCAGGGTCTTGGCTGAAGGCTGCTGAACCTGTGCCAATGTTTCTGCTGTTTGTGTTGGAGGGGGGGGGGTCGTTTGATTTGAAAACGAAGGGTGTGTGTGTGTGTGTGTGTGTGTGTGTGTGTGTGTGTGTGTGTGTGTGTGTGTGTGTGTGTGTGTGTGTGTGTGTGTGTGTGTGTGTGTGTGTGTGTTTGTTTACCTAGTTGTTTCACTACGGGATAAGAGCTAAGCTCAGATGGTCCCCTTTGCTATATTTAAATCAATATAACTTTAAATTGATGCACATTTCGGGCACACAGCGTTATTTGGAAGACTGTTTAGTTCTATGCTTTAATAGTTCTATTGGGAAGCTAAACTGTTTGGCATCTACATCGCCTCTTTTTACATTAAACTTTTTTAACGTGTCCTCTCGTCCTTCTTGTGTTCAAGATTATAAAGTCATCTTTGTCCAACTTTACGCTTCCTGTAACATAGTTGAACAGCATAATCATGTCCCCCCTTTCCTTTTCTTCCAAAGTTGTAGGTCCTGTATGTGTGTGTTTATTTGTATACTTATTAATTAGTATATTTGTATACATATGTATAAATAAGTAGAGAGGCACATGGAAACACAGATATTTGTGTATATGCATTCCACGCACCGGGAAGACTTACCCCCCCCCCCCCACCCGCCCCCTCGATCGACACTCACTCGACCCATTAGCAAATACTCGATCTTTGGGACTCGTCCGTCACAGAATTCGAAGCCAGCGAACGAGGCTTTTACGGCCGGTTTGTTCGAATTGTACGAGGCCGGACCCAGTGAACATTCTTATGTACAGACATGCATATGCGCAAAAATAAATACATTTCTACCAGTCTAGACAGGATTATCTGCTTGGTAGCTAGATAGATAAATGTATATCTATTAGAATGAGATAGACATTCATTTTTGTGTATATGAATGTCCGTATTAATGAATATTCATTGGGTCGGACATCGCACAATTTTAACAAATCAGCCGTTATAGCGGAGAAAGAAGCATGCGGATAGTTATCTATATATTTATTTATGATGCTGGCCATGCCCTTCACTCGTGTCCGCTGTTCCACACTCTTGGCTATAACAGTAACTTGCCGAGAAAGTAAACTACCGAGGTAAAGTAAAAAATTAGGATTTTTTACGAATATGTAAAACTGTAGAGAAGTTGCAATTTTGAACAAAACTTTTTTCTGAGAAAAAAAAAAAAAAAAAAAAAAAAAAAAAAATATATATATATATATATATATATATATATATATATATATATATATATATATATATATATTATTGAAAAGGTAATTCCCACACAAGTAACAAAAATATGAACATCAGATCCAATCTGTGTTTAACGGCTGAAATATAAACTGATAGGAATATATATATATATATATATATATATATATAATATATATATATATATATATTGTGTGTGTGTGTGTGTGTTGTGTGTGTGTGTGTGTGTGTGTGTTATATTATATATATATATATATATATATATATAATATATATATATATATATATATATATATATATTATATATTATATATATAATATACATATATATATATATATATATATATATATATATATATATATATATGTATATGTATATATATGTGTTATGTATATGTGTATATGTATATGTATATGTG